CTTGTCATAAGAGTTATTATTGTTCTAGCAACCACATTGAGGCCAGTGAATCCTGACTGCTATCACGCAGATGTTAGTCTTCTTGATCCAGGTCTTGTATATGCTTGTAAATATATTGCACATTATATATATTGTACTTTGGTCTTGTAAATATATTGTATTATTTCAGAAAAAAAGAGAAAAAAAAAAAAAAAAAAAATCATTATCTATCTTGAAATTCAATTGTGTTTGTTAGGTCAGAACTTTGTTCCATTAATGTAATACACCTTCCCCCCCACCACCTTCCCCACCACCTTCCCCCCACCTTCCTTCCCACCACCTTCCCCCACCACCTTCCCCACCACCTTCCCCACCACCTTCCCCACCACCTTCCCCCACCACCTTCCCCCACCACCTTCCCCCACCACCTTCCCCCCACCACCTTCCCCACCACCTTCCCCCACCACCTTCCCCACCACCTTCCCCCCCACCACCCACCCCCACCACCACCTTCCCCCCCCACCACCTTCCCCCCCACCACCACACCACTTCCCCACCACCTTCCCCACCACCTTCCCCACCACCTTCCCCACCACCTTCCCCACCACCTTCCCCCACCACCTTCCCCCCACCACCTTCCCCACCACCTTCCCCACCACCTTCCCCCACCACCTTTCCCATCCACCACCTTCCCCCACCACCTTCCCCACCACCTTCCCCCACCACCTTCCCCACCACCTTCCCCACCACCTTCCCCACCACCTTTCCCCACCACCTTCCCCCACCACCTTCCCCACCACCTTCCCCACCACCTTCCCACCACCCCCACCACCTTCCCCACCACCTTCCCCACCAGCTTCCCCCACCACCTCCCCCACCACCATCCCCCACCACCTTCCCCACCACCTTCCCCCACCATTCCCACCACTTCCCCACCACCTTCCCCCACCACCTTCCCCACCACCTTCCCCCCACCACCTTCCCCCACCACCTTCCCCACCACCTTCCCCACTTTCCCGGCCACCACCCCCCACCTTCCCCCACCACCACCACCTCCCCACCACCTTCCCCACCACCTTCCCCACCACCTTCCCCACCACCTTCCCCCACCACCTTCCCCACCACCTTCCCCCACCGCCCCCCCCCACCACCTTCCCCACCACCCGTCCCCCACCACCTTCCCCCACCACCTTCCCCCACCACCTTCCCCCACCACCTTTCCCCACCACCTCCCCCCCCACCACCTTCCCCACCACCTTCCCCACCAACCAGGCCCACCACCTTCCCCCACCACCTTCCCCACCACCTTCCCCACCACCTTCCCCCCCACCTTCCCCCCCACCACCAGGCCCCCACCACCTTCCCCACCACCTTCCCCACCACCTTCCCCACCACCTTCCCCCACCACCTTCCCACCATTCCTTCACCGGCTTCCCCACCACCTTCCCCACCACCTTCCCCCACCACCTTCCCCACCACCTTCCCCACCACCTTCCCCCACCACCTTCCCCCACCACCTTCCCCACCACCTTCCCCACCACCTTCCCCCACCACCTTCCCCACCACCTTCCCCCACCACCTTTCCCCACCACCTTCCCCACCACCTTCCCCACCACCGCCCCACCACCCGCCCCCACCACCATTCCCACCACCTCCCCCCACCACCTTCCCCCACCACCTTCCCCCACCACCTTCCCCACCACCTTCCCCACCACCTTCCCCCCACCAGTCCCCACCACCTTCCCCACCACCTTCCCCACCACCTTCCCCCACCACCTTCCCCCACCACCTTCCACCGGCCCCCCCCACCACCGGCCCCCACCACCTTCCCCACCACCTTCCCCCCACCACCTCCCCCCCCACCACCTTCCCCCCCACCACCTTCCCCACCACCTTCCCCACCACCTTCCCCCCACCACCTTCCCACCACCACCTTCCCCCCACCACCTTCCCCACCACCTTCCCCCCACCACCTTCCCGGGCCCCACCACCGGCCCCCCCCACCACCTTCCCCCACCACCTTCCCCCCACCACCTTCCCCCACCACCTTCCCCCACCACCTTCCCCCTCCACCATTCCCACCACCTTCCCCACCATCTCCCCCCACCACCATTCCCACCACCTCCCCCCACCACCTTCCCCATCACCTTCCTCCACCACCATTCCCACCACCTTCCCCACCACCTTCCCCCACCCACCGGCCCCACCACCTCCCCCACCACCTTCCCCCACCACCTTCCCCACCACCTTCCCCCACCACCTTCCCCCACCACCTTCCCCCACCACCTTCCCCCACCACCGGCCCCACCACTTCCCCCCACATTCCCAACCACCAGCAGTCCCCCCCACCACCTGCCCCACCACCGGCACCACCACCTTCCCCACCACCTTCCCCACCACCTTCCCCTCCCCCACCACCACCTTCCCCACCACCTCCCCCACCACCATTCCCACCACCTTCCCCCACCACCTTCCCCACCACCTTCCCCACCACCCCCCACCACCTTCCACCACCACCTCCCCACCACCTTCCCCACCACCACCTTCCCACCACCTCCCCCACCACCATTCCCACGGCCTTCCCACCACCTTCCCCCACCACCGGCCCCCCCACCTCGGCCCCACCCACCTTCCCCACCACCTTCCCCACCACCCCTTCCCCACCACCTTCCCCACCACCTTCCCCACCACCTTCCCCCACCACCTTCCCCACCACCTTCCCCCACCGCCCCTCCACCACCTTCCCCCACCACCTCCCCCCCACCACCTGCCCCACCAGCTCCCCCCACCACCATCTTCCCCCCACCACCTTCCCCACCACCTTCCCCACCACCTCCCCCACCACCTTCCCCACCACCCTTCCCCACCACCTTCCCCCCCACCTTCCCCCACCACCTTCCCCACCACCTTCCCCCACCATCATTCCCACCACTTCCCCACCACCTTCCCCCACCACCTTCCCCCCCCTTCAGCCAGCTCCCTCCACCACCTTCCCCACCACCGGCCCCCCGCCACCTTCCCCCACCATCCTCCCCCCACCACCCCCACCACCTTCCCCACCACCTTCCCCACCACCTTCCCCCACCACCTTCCCCACCACCTTCCCCCCACCACCGTCCCCACCACCATTCCCCCACCACCTTCCCCCACCACCTCCCCCCACCACCTCCCCCACCACCTTCCCCCTCCCCCCACCACCTTCCCCACCACCTCCCCCCCCACCACCATTCCCCCACCACCCCCCCCACCTTTCTTGCCTCATCTCCCTCCCCCACCGGCCCCACCTTAGTCCACCACCGGCCCCACCACCGCCCCCACCACCAGGCCCCACCACCTGCCCCCACCACCATTCACCACCACCTCCCGCACCACCTTCCCCCAACACCTTCTATAGCCACCTCCCCCACCACCTAGGTCCCCACCACCTCCCCCCACCACCTTCCCCCACCACCTTCCCCCACCACCTTCCCCACCACCTTCCCCACCACCTTCCCCACCACCTTCCCCCACCTACCTTCCCCACCACCTTCCCCCACCAGCATCCCCACCACCTTCCCCACCACCTTCCCCCACCACCTTCCCCCACCACCTTCCCCACCACCTTCCCCACCACCTTCCCCCCACCACCTTCCACCTTCCCCACCACCTTCCCCCACCATCCTTCCCACCACCTTCCCCCCCACCGGCCCCACCACCCTCCCCACCACCTTCCCCACCACCCCCCCCACCACCGGCCCCCACCACCGGCCCCACCACCGGCCCCACCAGCTCCCCCCCCACCACCAGGCCCACCACCTTCCCCCACCACCTGGCCCCCACCACCGCCCCCCACCACCTTCCCCCCACCACCGGCCCCCCCACCATCCCCCCACCACCTTCCCCACCATCATTCCCACCACCTTCCTCACCCCCCCACCTTCCTCACCACCTTCCCCACCACCTTCCCCCCACCTTCCCCCACCACCTTCCCCACCACCTTCCCCACCAGCGCCCCCCGCCACCATTCCCCACCACCCCACCACCCCCCACCACCTTCCCCAGCACCGCCCGCCACCACCATTCCCACCACCTTCCCCACCACCTTCCGCCACCACCACCCCTCCCCCACCACCCTCCCCCCACCACCCACCACCCCCACCATCTCCCCCCACCACCATGCCCACCACCTTCCCCCACCACCTTCCCCACCACCACCATTCCCACCACCTCCCCCACCACCTTCCCCACCACCGGCCCCCACCACCATTCCCACCACCACTTCCATCCCCCACCACCCCCCCACCACCTTCCCCCCACCACCTTCCCCACCACCACAGGCCCCACCACCTCCCCCACCAGCTCCCCCACCACCAGGCCCACCACCGCGCCCACCACCACCTTCCCCACCACCGCCCCCCACCACCAGGCTTCCCCACCACCGCCCCCCCACCACCGGTCCCCACCACTCCGCCCCCCACCACCATTCCCACCACCTCCCCCACCACCGACCCCCACCACCTTCCCCCACCACCATGCCCACCACCTCCCCCCACCACCTTCCCCACCATCGCCCCCCCACCACCTTCCCCACCACCGCCCCCCACCACCTTCCCCCCCACCACCGGCCCCTCCACCATGCCCACCACCGGCCCCACCAGCGCCCCCCACCACCAGGCCCACCACCTTCCCCCACCACCTTCCCCACCGCTCCCCCCACCAACCAGGCCCCACCACCGGCCCCACCACCATTCCCACCACCCGGCCCCACCACCACCTTCCCCACCACCTTCCCCACCACCGGCCCCACCACCTCCCGCCACCACCAGCCCCACCACCTCCCCCACCACCTTCCGCACCACAAAGCTCGGTTGTCAGGTACATCCCTCACATGTCATCGAATAAATGGTGCCACGGTGTCATTGTACACAAAATGTGGCCACGGTGTCATTGTACACAAAATGTGGCCACGGTGTCATTGTACACAAAATGGTGCCACGGTGTCATTGTACACAAAATGTTGCCACGGTGTCATTGTACACAAAATGTGGCCACGGTGTCATTGTACACAAAGTTGCCACGGTGTCATTGTACACAAAAGGTTGCCACGGTGTCATTGTACACAAAATGTTGCCACGGTGTCATTGTACACAAATGTGGCCACGGTGTCATTGTACACAAAAATGTTGCCACGGTGTCATTGTACACAAAATTTTGCCACGGTGTCATTGTACACAAAATGTGGCCACGGTGTCATTGTACACAAATGTGGGCCACGGTGTCATTGTACACAAAATGTGGCCACGGTGTCATTGTACACAAAATGTGGCCATGGTGTCATTGTACACAAAATGGGGCCACGGTGTCATTGTATACAAAATGTGGCCACGGTGTCATTGTACACAAAATGTGGCCACGGTGTCATTGTACAGAAAATGTGGCCACGGTGTCATTGTTACCAAAATGTTGCCACGGTGTCATTGTACACAAAATGTGGCCACGGTGTCATTGTACACAAAATGTGGCCACGGTGTCATTGTACACAAAATGTTGCCACGGTGTCATTGTACACAAAATGTGGCCACGGTGTCATTGTACACAAAATGTTGCCACGGTGTCATTGTACACAAAATGTGGCCACGGTGTCATTGTACACAAAATGTTGCCACGGTGTCATTGTACACAAAATGTGGCCACGGTGTCATTGTACACAAAATGTGGCCACGGTGTCATTGTACACAAAATGTGGCCACGGTGTCATTGTACACAAAATGTGGCCACGGTGTCATTGTACACAAAATGTGGCCACGGTGTCATTGTACACAAAATGTGGCCACGGTGTCATTGTACACAAAATGTTGCCACGGTGTCATTGTTCACAAAATGTGGCCACGGTGTCATTGTACACAAAATGTGGCCACGGTGTCATTGTACACAAAATGTGGCCACGGTGTCATTGCACACAAAATGTAGCCACGGTGTCATTGTACACAAAATGTGGCCACGGTGTCATTGTATACAAAATGTGGCCACGGTGTCATTGTACACAAAATGTGGCCACGGTGTCATTGTACACAAAATGTGGCCACGGTGTCATTGTTACCAAAATGTTGCCACGGTGTCATTGTACACAAAATGTTGCCACGGTGTCATTGTACACAAAATGTGGCCACGGTGTCATTGTACACAAAATGTTGCCACGGTGTCATTGTACACAAAATGTGGCCACGGTGTCATTGTACACAAAATGTTGCCACGGTGTCATTGTACACAAAATGTTGCCACGGTGTCATTGTACACAAAATGTGGCCACGGTGTCATTGTACACAAAATGTGGCCACGGTGTCATTGTACACAAAATGTGGCCACGGTGTCATTGTACACAAAATGTTGCCATGGTGTCATTGTACACAAAATGTGGCCACGGTGTCATTGTACACAAAATGTGGCCACGGTGTCATTGTACACAAAATGTGGCCACGGTGTCATTGTACACAAAATGTGGCCACGGTGTCATTGTTACCAAAATGTTGCCACGGTGTCATTGTACACAAAATGTGGCCACGGTGTCATTGTACACAAAATGTGGCCACGGTGTCATTGTACACAAAATGTTGCCACGGTGTCATTGTACACAAATGTGGCCACGGTGTCATTGTACACAAAATGTTGCCACGGTGTCATTGTACACAAAATGTGGCCACGGTGTCATTGTACACAAATGTGGCCACGGTGTCATTGTACACAAAATGTGGCCACGGTGTCATTGTACACAAAATGTTGCCATGGTGTCATTGTACACAAAATGTGGCCACGGTGTCATTGTACACAAAATGTTGCCACGGTGTCATTGTACACAAAATGTTGCCACGGTGTCATTGTACACAAAATGTGGCCACGGTGTCATTGTACACAAAATGTGGCCACGGTGTCATTGTACACAAAATGTGGCCACGGTGTCATTGTACACAAAATGTTGCCACGGTGTCATTGTACACAAAATGTGTACAAAAGGAATTACTGGGAAAGTAGTGATAGGAATCATTAATTTGCTAACGACCATTAAGATGAATAGTTAACTTCCCCATTGAGTGATTGTCAGAAAACCCGACACCATTTACTAATATTCAATACAATAAGCAGATAATATTGCTGCTGTTGTATACACAAGTTAACCCATAGAAAATGTAGCCAGTATCTTATCTAGTCTTTCCGGCCGGTAATGTCAGGAAGATAGGATTAATTCCGGTTAGGACACGAATAAGCGACATAATCCAGGTAATTATTCCTTGGTCCTTATCTTATAATATACCAATGTTTCCTCTGATACAGCTAGTGCCCGCTGACAGGTGTAGGAGAGGGAGCAGTACAGCTTGGTACACCAGTACATGGATGGTGATGCTAGCCTCACACGAGGATTATTTGGTGTTATCATCCTTGTGTATACCTGGTGGACTAAGCCTGTTGTACAATAAGATAAGACCTCCAAAATTTCATGGCAAATATATGTAGCTTAATACTATAGTTTGATTGGCTGCATATATATAAATTTAATATAAACCCCTCCTAATGTGTAAGGAGTCGATTTGTGAGAATATTGCAGAAATACAGTCCACTAAACATCATACAAATTGCTATCGAAATATGTAAATTAATGTAAATATAAACACTATAAAATTCATATAAATTAAAAATATATAAATCTCATGAGTCGGTTCCCCACATTATTTGTTTGGTTGAAAGTCTACATTATGTCCTGATCAACGACGGTGAGTCCCGCAGGTTACTGTGCTGGCGCCGGTACTGTTCCACCTCCTCGCATCACACATACTGATACACAGTACTGTGTCGGCCACTACACATGACAATGATCTTCAGGAGAGGAGACTTATTGAGGCCTCACCAAGCCTCCGGTGGTAATCAACTCTATCAATCATGTGAGCAACTTGGTGATCAATGTGTGCAGCT